ATGAACTTAACCAGTATGTGTTTCCTGACTGCTCCGCCGTCAGGCCATTCCCCTCTCACTCTCCCTCTCCTCGGGCCTCCCTCCTCCCTGGGACACAATAGTATTGAAATTAGGCCAATTAACAACCCTGCAATGACTTCTCTAAGTGTTCAAGTGAAAGGAAGAGTCTTATGTATCTCATTTTAAATCAAAAGCTAGAAATGATTAAGCGTAATGAGGAAGGCATGTTGAAAACTGAGACAGGCTGAAAGCTAGGCTTCTTGGGCCAGTTAGCCAACTTGTGAAGGCAAAGGGAAAGTTCTTGAAGGAAGTTAAAAGTGCTCCTCCAGTGAACACACGGATGATAAGAAAGCAGTGCAGCCTTAATGCTGAGATGGAGAAATTTGGAGTGGTCTGGAGAGAAGATCAGGCCAGCCCCAGCATTCCCTTAAGCCAGAGCCTGATCCAGAGCCAGGCCCAACTCTCTCTCATTCCATGAAGGCTGAGAGAGGTGAGGAAGCTGCAGAAGAAAAGTTTGAAGCCAGCAGAGGTTGGTTTATGAGGTTGAAGGAAAACAGAGGTGTCTCCGTAACATGAAAGTGCGAGGTGGAACAGCCAGTGTGGGTGTAGAGGCCGCAGCAAGTCGTCCAGAAGGTCCAGCTCACATCACTCAGGAAGGTGCCGCTGCACTAGGGGACAGATCTTCTGCGTAGATGAAACAGCCTGATGTTGGAAGAAGATGCCATCTAGGGCTTTGATAGAAGTCAATGCCTGGCTTCAAAGCCTCCAAGGACAGGCTGACTCTCTTGTTGGGGACTAATGCAGCTGGTGACTTAAAGTTGAAGCCAGTGCTCACTTATCATTTTGAAGATCCTGGAGCCATTAAGAATTATGCTAAATTCACTCTGCCTGTGCTCTGTAAATGGACCCACAGAGCCTGGATGACAGCACGTCTGTTTACAATGTGGTTTACTGAACGTTTAAAGCCCACTGTTGAGACCTACTGCTCAGGAGGAAAGATTCCTTTCAAAATAACACCACTTGTTGATAATGCACCTGGTCGCTTTAGAGCTCCGATGGCAGCGTCCGCTGACATTCATGGTGTTTTCATGCCTGCTAACACAACATCCTTTCCGCAGCAAGTAGTTTCAACCTTCAAGTCTTATTACTTAAGAAATCCATTCTGTAAGGCGGTAGCTGACTTAGATGGTGATTCCTCTGACGGGTCTGGGCAAAGTCCGTTAAAGACCTTCTGGGCAGAATTCACCATTCTAGATGCCACTAAGACCGCTCATGATTCATGGGAAGAGGTCAGAATATTAACTTTTAACAGGAGTTTGGAAGAAGTTAATTCCAGCCGTCAGGGATGACTTTAGGGGAGGGAGTGACTGCAGATGTGATGGAAATAGCAAGAGATAGAATTAGAGCTGGAGCCTGAAGGTGTGACTGAACAGCTGCCGTCTCATGGTAGAACTTGAACGGATGAGGAGCTGCTTCTTATGGGTGAGCAAAGAAGGTGGTCTCTTGAGGTGGAATCTACTAGTGAAGATGCTGTGAAGATGGTTGAAGTGACGACAGAGGATTTAGACTATCACATAATTTCATGGATAAAGCCACACCAGGGCTTGAGAGGATCGACTCCAATTTTAAAAGAAGTTCCACTGTGGGTAAAATGCTATCACTGCGTGCTACAGAGAAATCTTTCATGAAAGGAAGAGTCAATCTATATGGCAGTTTGTTGTTGTCTTATTTTAAGAAATTGCCACAGGGTGGGAGGGGGAAGAAAAAAAAAAAAGAAATTGCCACAGCCACCCCAGCCTTCAGCAGCCACCACCCTGATCAGTCAGCAGCCACCGCCATCGAGGCGGGGCCCTCCACCAGCAAAAGAGCACGGCTCACTGAAATTCAGATGGTTGTTGACTTTTTCTTTTTAGCAATAAAATATTTTTTGAAATAAGATATATACTTTTTTTAGGCATAATGCTGTTGCACACTTAATAGACTTCTATATAGTGTAAACATAACTTTTGTATGCACTGGGAAACCAAAAAATTCGTGTGAGCCACTTCATTTTGATTATTTACTTTCCGGCAGTGGTCTGGAACCGACCCTGCAGCATCTTGGAGCTCTGTGTGCCTGTATACTTCCCTGTGTCTACAGGATATCTGAAAATTCTGAAAACATAGGGAGAGTTTTATTTTAAACAGTGTTTGTTTCATTTTCAGATAGCATATTCAATATGTTTACCTTCACACTCTGGGCTGTCTGGCTCTCTGAGCACACTACCTTAATTTTTAAAGCTGCAGATCCAGTTATTAATCTGAAAAGGCACAATAAGTAATTTAAATATTTCTCTCATGTTTTTGTGGTCCGAGGTCACCTTTTCAGACACCATACTTGTAAAGAGAAGGCTCTTGGGAGCTGCTCCCAAGAGGTGGTTCTTCTCCCTGGTTATTGACTCCCTGCCCCTGTGTACTTCTGCATCCCAGCCTTGGTCCCTGCAGCACAGTAACACGTGTGTGAATATCTGATTGTGGTGTCTCCTCCTGGAGAGACTGTAAGCTCCACGAGAGCCAGGGCATCTCCCAGCTCACCGTTGCATCTGCAGTGTCTTAGCATCAAGCCAGGTGCATGGTCAAAACTCAATAAATAGTTGTTGAATAAATGAACGATGAATGAATGGGATTAAAGACCTACTCAGCATTCACAGTTGAGCATGTGTGCGTCTTGAATTGTGTGTGCTTTTTGGGATGTGGACTGGATCCTGGTGAAAGAAACATTTTTGTACAGATTTGTAGGCTTTAGATGAATACATTTAATAATCATTTAAATTAATAATATGACCCAAGAAATAATTGATTTTAGTTTTCCCATTTTATAGATGAAGAAACAAACAACCATAGGACCAAAATGATTTAGTGGTTAGGTGACTGTCAGGATAAGCTGGTGTCTTATATCCAAGCCAGAGGTATTCCTACTCTACCTCCCCTTGAAACACCGTCAGCAGTATGTTTATTTAAACACTGCTTGCCCAGGATATAGGGTATTAAAACGCAAAGACTGAAATTTTTCCATTGAGGGTGATTACTTTGTTTTTTGAGATGGCTTGTTTTGCCTGTGTCTAGCCTTATGAGGGTCTTCTTAAAAATGCCTTTTAAAAAGACATGAAAAGATCTGGGCGTCCAGTAATTTCGTTTCCCAGCGCATTGCCAGAGAATTATTAAAATTTTATTTCAAGAGAAACTCCATCTGCCTAAGTGGTGGAAACCGACTTAGCGAGTTTGAACAGTCATATACTGTGTGCTTTTCCTCCAGTTGTTGATAAGAAAAGTAGGCCATCAGTATAGAAAGAGTATTTTGAAACACATTCATCATTTATTTTTTAGTGAGATTGCCGGGTCAGTCGTGTCTGTAAAAGTTCTGCATTTGGGATGAGAACTCTTGGGATTAATTTGGCTCTTGGAAGAGCGAGGCGGAGTTGAGCGTCTGTGTCTCCCGTGCGGCACTTTAGGGAGCCGCCTGCCGGCTCGGGTGACTTTTGGTTCCACGGTGAGCTCTGGGCAGGCGGTGCCTGCTGCTCTCTGCCACGGTAGTTTCTTCAGCAGTGCTTTTTCAAAGCTCCAGGGGTGGGTCGAGTGGGTGTGTTTATAAAGGTGCTGGTGATAAGCAGAAAATTGGGAGCAACAAGGGACTGTAAACGTGTCATCCTTGCACTTGATCTTGGGGAGAATCTGCTCTTACTTTGATAACATAATAAAAAGAATTTTGCCATTGAAGAGCTCGAGATGACCCCTAAAAATCTCATGTTTTAGTAACTGAAGTTTATGTCATGGCATTCTTATTTACTTTAAGGGAGTTACAGGCCCTGTCAGGGCACCTTTTACTTGGTAAAGGGTCTCTCTTTATAAAAGTGTGAGAGACTTAATTTGAGGATTTGGGGGTTTTGTATTTAGGATCTTTGTTGCTGTTTTGCTGTTCATGTCATGTTCATTTCATTTTTTTTTTATTGCAGCCTTGGTGAGTATAACTGACAGACACAATTGTAAGGTGTTTAAAGTGTATGTGGTGGTGATTTGGTTTATGTACAGAGCTTGTTTCACTGCTTGTCAGACTGCATCTTTACCAGACATTTTCCTCGCCGCACAGTCCACTACAAAGCATCTGTGAGTGCTTATGGGGACATTAAGTGTCACCCACCTCTCTTTGTAGCAAGTTCCTAAAAGGAGTACCAAACTGTACAGTGTAAAAGCAGGTGTTCTTTTCTTAGAAAGCTTTAGAAAGTATATTGCCGTTCATTGTATGTCACCTTTTAGACATTGTTCTTGATTTGTAGGTTTCCAGCTGCTTACGTGTGTCCTGTCGGTCTCTTCTCTTGGACAGTGTAGCACACAGTCCTCTGGCTGAAGCCCAAGGGTTTCCAGTTAGAGGCAAAGATTTGTTTCCTTTGCTCTGTTGTTTGTCTCAGGATATTTGAATGCTCACAGCCCGTTTCTGTAATTTTTAAAAATTTTTTTCAATTTTTATATTTATTTATTTATTTATTTATTTATTAGGTGGGGGGAAGTAATCAGGTTTATTTATTTGTTTATTTTTAATGGAGGTCCTGGGGATTGAACCCAGGACCTTGTGCATGCTAGGCATGCACTCTACCACTGAGCTATACCCTCCCCTCCCCGTTTCTTTATTTTATCAAGTGTGAGCCAAGTGCAGCTGCATATTTAAAAATGGCACCAACAGGCCAGGGGAAGGGTGAGAAGAGGAGGCAGCAGCCCTGGAAAGAGCTTTGGGAGGCATCCATGGCTGACGTGGGAAGGCAGATTGGCTGTGTGATGGGCAGTTTATCTCTGGAAAAGTATGAAAGTTCATGGGGTGAGAAGTTTAACTGCCCTGTACTTTGTGGTCCGAGGTCATCATCTCTCTCTCCAAAGTCCTTTATCTTTGGGTGAGTCACACAGTGTCTCTGGGCTGAAGATGAAAGGCCTGGATCTGATGGCCCTTCCCATTGTGGGCTCCTGTGAGGACCCAGCCTGGACGCCTCTTGGTAGGTCTTGGTTTTCGTTTCAAGAAACGTTTAGAAACCAAACTGATAATGGGTTCTTGAATTGAAACAAAATGCATTTTTAGATAGTATGCCTGATTCTCGGCGTTTTACCTGATTCCTGGGGAGGGTAATGGGGTGAAAGTGTTTGGAAGGCTATAAAACAGTGTGACTTTTCCCCCTTTATTTTCCCCATTCTTGGTGTCATGATAAATTGAACCAACCTGAAGACCGTTCCATACTTACAGTCAGCTGTTTTAAGTGGTCAGCAGTTTTGCTAAAAAAAAAAAGAATTTCCAACACCTCAGTGTCATCAGTGGAGAGCAGACCGCTCAGCCACCGCTGCTGTGGACCACGCCTGTTGTGTGTCTGCTGCCACACTTGTGCTTTAGGTAAAGCACACTGTTGCATGTGGTCTTTTTTCCTTTCTTTTTAAAGTAATTTCTACTGAAGTAGGTGAATTAGGCATATATTTTCTTGAGTGTCTCATAGAAGAATTTGTTAAGGAATTGGATACAGTGACAATGATTGGTCAGGTGAACTTTTATTAAAGTGTCACTGGTGGGTTTTGTTTAAGAAAATTTAGAAGAGCTCAGCCGTCTCATATCCAGAAATGAAAGTGTCTGCTGTAAAAACAGCAACTCAGAGGGAACGTGTTCTTTCCCCGTTGGGACATTCTGGAGTCTTCCTGCGGTTGCTGCTGGTGAGGGCGCGTTCTCAGCCAGCTGAGCGCTTGGGTGACTGACGCCTCGGAATGGTCTCAGCACATGTGCCAAGCAGGACTGTGCTGCTCGTACGGGTTTTCCTGTATGTGTTCTGAGCAGGATGTGTTTCCTTTCATATGAACCATAGAAGTGCATCTGCTGGAATCTTTAAACAGATAACTTCTCAATAAACAGGAAAATGTCAAAATTGCGGTCATTATTTATGAGATTGATGAAAGTAGAATAGAGAAAATGTAGTAACATTTACTCAGGTGTTTTGAATGTGTTTTATTTGATGCTGTTACAGTATTAGAAACAACCCGCCTTGTCTACATTTTTTTCCTCCTAGTGCCCATTTCTTGTATGGCCTGTGAAATACATTTTCTACGTATGACTTAGTAGCCAGTACCACGAGAAGCATGCCTTTACACTCTCTTACAGGTTGAGAGTTATCAACTGAGTGTAAGAGGAAAGTTTTATTCTGTGAATGATGTTTACCAAACTTTCCTGTGACGCTTATAAAATAAGTCTTAAACCATAGAGGTAGATGTTATTTTTATAGCTTGTTCTTGGTTAAGGTGTTTACCTATAAAGAAAATTTTAATCTTTTTTTTTTTGATGCCTTAGATGAGCTGTTGAATATTGTGCGTATTGGTAGTCAGCTTTTAGATTTTCTTTATTTGAAGCTAAAAGCAGGAATATTTTATATGCTAATTAGAAATTAACATGAGAATGTACATTGGTGCAACCACTATGGAAAATAGTATGGATGTTCCTTAAAAAATTAAAAATAGGACTACCATATGATCCAGAAATTCCTCTTGTGAGTATTTATCCAAATGAACCTAAATCACTATCTTGTAAAGATATCTGCTCCCCCCATGTTCACTGCAGTATTATTTATAGTAGCCAAGATAGTGGAAACAACCTATGTGTCCATCAGCAGATAAATGGATAAGAAAATGTGGTACAGTGGACTATTATCTAGCCATAAAAAGGAAAATCCTGCCATTTGTGACAACATGGATGGATCTTGAGGGCATTATGCTAAGTCAGAGAAAGACAAACACTATTTGTCACTTACATGTTGAATCTTCAAAAAAGAAAACAAAACCAAAGCAAAACAAGGCCCAAACTCCGGGAAACAGCACAGATTGGTGGTTGCCGGAGATGGTGGCTTGGGGGGAGGGTGAAATGGGTGAAGGAGTCAAAAAGTACAAGCTTCCAGTTACAAGATAAATAGTCCCGGGGATATAATTTACAGCATATTGACTATAAAAAAGAAACTTCAGAGAAATTTACTATGATGGCTGCTGGACAATCAAGACTCAACTCTTAATCCTTATGCTTGGCCTTCAGTGTCACCTGGAAATTTGGGCAGAGGACACGTGTGTCAATGTTTCTAAAATAGAAGTTTCACCAAATCCCAGAGAGCGTTTCATGATTGGGTCTACACTCAACCTGCTCTCACGTTGTCTTTCAAAGATATATCAGCTTTTATTACAATGAAAACCATTCTAGAATAGTCCCAGTCTTACTGGAAATACGGATGGAATGATAAATTGCGTATTTTAAGGCCTTGGATAAGGTTTGTAATTCCCAACATTTTGTGGAAATTAAAAACCACGTTGCATTTTCTTCTATCTAATGTAAGTTTATTTTGAAATTTGTAAATATTTCTTTGGTTTGCCTAGTAAATGATTTATCGCTACATTGTCTCCCTCCTATGACCACGAGGGTCCTTTATTACTGTGATAATTGCAAAGAAAAGGCCATGCAGTTTTAAGAACTGGTGCTTGAAAGACCTAATGAGCAGACCACTTCTTCCAAGGTTGAACTCAGACAAGACGTTTGAAGTAGTATTTCCTTGGACTTCTGGCTGTGTATTAGTTCAGGATTTCTTCATTTATTCTTTTTTAATATAACTGAACATTAAATTTCTTCACAAAATGCTTTAGTTTTGGGGGGCATGTAATTTGGTTGAAGATATTGAATAAAAGAACTAAGTTTGATGAAATGACAATTTGGAAATTTATCACTGAACATTAAAAAAAATTGGTGAAACACTGATACCATTTGATAATGCAGGCATCTTTCTTGAGAGGAGATTTTTCTGTTTGAGATAGTTTTTTTGTTTGTTTGGGTTTTTTTGGAAATTGAAGTTTAGTACATACCATGCTGAGGTGGGACAGCATAAGACTTTGTAAAGGTTCCTTGATAACTGACACTAGTTCATAAACCGGAAAATTATGCTTTTGGCTCATAATCAGTAGGAAATTGATTTGAGTCTTCCCTTTGGGTGGGGAAACCTATTAGTGGGCTCTTAGATGATAATTGCTGGCATAAATTTATTAGCAGTGCTTACTGTGCTTCAGATTCTATGCTAGGCACTTGTTAAAGAAGCAGTTTTATTGAGATATAATTCATATGCCATACAACTCACCTACTTAAAGTGTACAGTTCAATGGTTTTTAGTATATTCACAGATACATGCAACTGTCACCACAACTGGAGAATATTTTCATCACTTCAAAGAGAAAAGCTATACTCTTAAGCTGTAATGTCCTATCCCCCTGCACCCCCACCCCCTCACAAGCAACCACTAATTTACTTTGTGTCTATAGATTTGCCTATTCTAGACTTTCATATGAATGGGAATCATAATATGTACTTTTGTAATTTGCTTCTTTCACTTAGCGTAGTATTTTCAAGGTTCATCCAAGTTGTAGCACATATTAGTAAGTATTCCTTTTTATTGACAAATAATATTCCACTTTGTGGATATATCACATTCTGTTTTTCCATTCATCCAATAGATATCCAACATATGGGTTGGTTTCACCCTTTGGCTATTGTGAATATGCTGCTACTATGAAAATTCGTGTATTTGTTTGAATACCTGTTTTCAGTTCTTTTGGGTATATTCCCAGTTGTGGAATTTCTGGGTCATGTCATAACTCTATGTTTAATCATTTCAGAACTGCCAGACTGTGTTCCAGAGCAGCTACACCATTTTACATTCCCACTACCAGTGTATGAGGGTTCTGATTTCTCTGCATCCTTGCCAACACTTGTTATTCTCTGGCCTGATTCTAGCCATCCTAGTGGGTATTTCATTGTGATTTGGATTTACATTTCTCCAGTGACTAAAGATGTCCAGCATGTTTTCATGTGCTTATTGGGCATTTGTATATCTGTTTTGGAAAGATACCTTTTCAAGTCCTTTGCTCATTTTTAAATTGGATTATTTGTCTTTTTATTATTGAGTGATAGGAGTTCTTTGGAATTTGGAGTTATAGGAGTTACAGGAAACCAGATACATGTTTTGCAAAAATTTTGTCCCATTCTGTGGGTTGTCTTTTCACTTTCTTGCTGGTAACTTTTGAATCTGTACAAGGGTTTGTAATTTTGATGAAGTTCAATGTATATATGTATATACTTTTCATTTTGTTGCTTGTGCTTTTGGTGTCATATCTAAGAATTCTTTGCCAGATCCAAAGTCATGAAGATTTACTTCTGTGTTTTCTTCTAAGAGTTTTAGTCTTTGATCCATTTTGAGTTAATTATCTTATATGATGTGAGGTTCGGGTACAGCTTCTTTTGTATGTGGCTATCCTGTGGTCCCTGCACCATTTGTTGAAAAGACTCTTTTTTCCTCCCCTTGAATAGTTTTGGTACCCTTGTCAAAAATCACTTGACTAAAGATGTATGAATTTATATCTGGACTTTCAGTTCTAGTCCATTGATTTATATGTCTGTCCTTGTTCTGACACCTCACTTTCTTGATTTCCATTGCCTTGTAGTAAGTTTTGCAACCAAGAGTATGAATCTTCCTAATTTGTTATTTTTTCAAGGTTATTTTGCCTATTTTGGGGTCCCTTGCAATTGCATATGAATTTTAGAATCAGTTTGTCAGTTTCTACAAAGTTATCTGGGATTCTGATAGGAATTGCATTAACTCTGGACCTCAATTTGGGCAGTATTGCCATCTTCATTTTAAGCTTTTTGATCCATGAACATGGGATGTCTGTTTAACACATTGATCGCCACATCACCCAAATCTGGGTGACAATTGTGTTTCCTCAGGGGTCTCCTCACCCAGATATGGGTGATGCTTTCCTTCATCCAGTTATGCAGAATTTATTCCAAATTTATTCCATGTAGAATAATGACATCCCAAGAAGAAATAAAACTGTAAAGAGTTTGAAAATTGAAAATAAGAAAAGAATATTTTTCAACAATTCCAATTATACTGGAAAAACAAACAGGTTAAGTATAAGCACATATATTGTTAGTGTATTACATTGCAGTGAAGTGTGAATTTGGTCCCTGCAGGAAACAACCGATCCACCATGAGCAATCAGTGTGTTAATTGTGTCTTCTTTAATTTCTTTCAGCAATGTTTTGAAGTTTTTAGTATACATGTCTTTCACCTTCTTGCTTAGGTTCGTTCCTAAGTTTTTTATTCTTTTTGATGCCATTGTAAGTGGAATTGTCTTCTTAATGTCAGTTTCAGATAGTTTGTTATGAGTGTACAGAAATACAGTTGATTCTTATATATTGGTCTCTTATCCTGGAACCCTGTTCAACTTGCTTATCAGTGCTAAAAGATTTTTAGTGAATTCCTTAGAATTTTCTATGTGTAAGTCAAGTCATCTGCGTTCAGAGATAGTTTTACTTCTTCCTCTCCAGTGTAAATACTTTTTCTTTTTTTTGTCTGATTGTCCTGGCTAGAATTGGTAGTACATTGATGAATAGAAATGGCAAGAGTAGACACCCTTGTCTGATACCCAGTGTCAGGGAGAAAGCATCTTTCACCACTGAATATTGCTTTAAAAATCAGTTTGAAGAGGTTGCTTTCTATTCCTAGTTTGTTAAGTGTTTTTATCCTGAAAGAGTGTTGGATTTCGTCATATACTTTTTCTGTGAGATGGTTGTGTGATTTTTGATTTTTGTTTGATTGATGTATGTTACATTAATTGGTTTTCAGCCGATGTCAAACCAACCTTGCATTGTGGAGTAAGTCCCACTTGGTCATGATATATGATCCTCTTCATATGTTGCTAAATTTGGTCTGCCAGAATTTTGTTGAGGACTTTTGCATCTATATTCATAAAAGATACTAGTCTGGGTTTCTTGTGCTGTGTTTGTTTGATCTTGGTATCATAGTAATACTGGTCTCATAAAATTTGTTTGGAAACATTCCCTTTTTTGTAAGAATTTGTTAAGAATTCATATTCATTTTTTAAATATTTGGTAGACTTCAGCATTGAGGGCATCTGGACCTGGGCTTTGTCAGGTGATGTCTTTAATTCTTATTATAGATATCATTACCTTCATCTTATAGATGAGGAAACTGAGGCTCAGGAAGGTTAGTGGCAGAGCTGGGATTTGAATCCGGATTACCTTATGTCAAGTACTAGGATGCTAACAACAGCTGGCATTTATTGTGCAGTTAGTTGTTTCTGACCATCCAGGGTACTTTAACAAAATGATTGGCTACAGTCCCATCAGCAGGTCCTCGTTTAGTGATCTCTTCAAATTTATATGTATTGTACCCATTTCCAGATAGAGAACCTGACACTTAAGAAGTCAGTGACTCGCCCTGGTGAACCATGGCCTAGAAGTCAATGGTACACTGTGCTCCTCACTCACAAGGCTGTGTGACTCTTAGTTGCTTTTCTCTATTGTGTGGAGAAGTAGCCGTGCCACGTGTGGACAGCAGAGCCCAGATCAGGTTTGGCCTTGAATTTGAATGGCCTGGCCCAGTCAGCACAGCACTGCGAGCCCTGGCTTTTCTCTCTCTCTGCTCCGTAGCTAACAGTGTACTCCGTGGTTGTAGCAAAAGAACCTGTATATCACTGACTTCGTGTAGTTAGGGTGGAAGCAGGTTTAGCATATGTCACTACGTACAACAGGGAAGTGACTTTGAAAGGTATTTTAGTGTGTGAGCCAGCCAGCAGATTTGTGTGATAGCTATCAATGAAGACGTGCAAAAGTACTTATTTATATTAATGTTCACATTATTGGTGAGATTATATGGTATTCTAGTCTATTTGGGTGAAGAGGAAAAAAAAAGTCTTGATTTTTCAAGATAGAGACTTCCTCAAATATCCATTCTCATTGAATAGTGAGCACACACACAAAAGGCTGACCTGATGGTGCCTGTGTGCGCTGGGGGGCTGGCTGAGGGCCGTGAGGGCTGACCTCCCTCCCAGGGTGGGGCAGGTGCTGTCTTGGCCTGGCAGCCAGTGTCCTGGGAGCCCCCCGGAACGAGGGGCTGGAGGCGCCACCGTACAGAACCAGGTTGTCAGTGTGGCACCTGCTCGTACCTGTGCTCACCCGTGCTGGTGTCCCGTCCAGGGCCTGCTGCGTGGCCTCCTGGGGCAAGTGGGGGGCGGGCCTCAGATTGTGCAGCACTAGAGGGGCGGGGCTGGGTGTCTGGCTGCCCCTGATTAGGCTTTTAGACAGTTTTCTCTGCAGCCCTTCTCCCATATCCCTGTCTTTGGAGACACAGCTTCCTTTCTGAGTGCTCTGCGGTTTTACAGTGGGCCTGGCGTCCTTTTGTGAGCCTCCCCTCCCGAGACTCAGCTGAATGGAGGAACCCCCACGTCAGTCAGTTACACGTGCACGACAGCCTCCCATCTTCTGCGGTTTCATTGTCACGTTTGCTCTCTTGTGGGCTCCTTTCCAGTGTCCTTTCTCTTGTCCTTTGGTGTTTATACCTGCTTTTATTCCTTTACTGTCATTTTATTAGGACTTCAGGAAGGAGTAGAGGTCAGTGCCATTTCTGTTTCTTTTGTAAATTACCTCTTCATGTCCTCAGTGTAATTTCCTATTGGGATTTTCATGTTTGGACTCTTAAGAACTTCATGTATGAAGGGTATTAACTCTTGGACAGATGGTGCAGTTCTCCGTTCTTCTGTGTTAACTGACTTCTGAAATGCTTGCTGGAAGGTGATGGCGGGGATTCCAGTCTCTGCTGACTCGTACAGATGGCCGGGTAGGGAGGTGGATCCTGAGACCAGCCGGTGGTGCGCTGGCTGTTGTGTGGATGTGCTTTTCTTTTGGTTTTCATCACCTCATGGAAGCTGTCTCATCTCCTCCAGCTTGAGCTGTGTTCAGCTGTTTCACAGATGAGGGAACTTGGCCAAGGGGAAGCGAATTGTTTGCCATCTCCTCTCCCGAGTCCTCTGTGTCTGGTCCCGGTGGTCAGCTGGAGAGGGCCGGCAGCCGCGGGCTGAGGAACACACGTCCTCACCTGCCCGCCGAGGCTTTGTAGCCTCGGCGCAGCCACATGCCCTAGGCTTGGAGAGAGGCCACTTTTGCACATGCCTCACAAGGGTAGGAGGAGGTGCTGGCAAAACTGACTTCTCTCCTTCTGCACTTAGCAGTGGGCCAGAGCCACAAAGAAGAGAGTTCGAGGGAAGGAATTAGCAGCAGCCTGACACGTGTCACCTGCTTGGCCTGATAGGACAGGTGTAAGCTCTCTTCTATCCTTGGGGATCAGGGGACTGATTTTCAGCTGAGTTGTGAAGGTTTGACCGTGTTCTGTTTCCTCCTGTGTTTTTGGGTGCCTTCTGTCCTCACTAGCATGAACAGTGTGTCCTGCGTTAGCAGACGGGAGAATCGCATCGCGGTGCAGCCGGGGAAGCCGCAGTCATGTGGGGCCTGCTGAGCCTAAAGCCTGACGCTGTCAGTGCGCATGTCTGGTGGGCAACCTAGTGGAGTTTGGGGTCAGGGACGACCCCTGACAAAGCCCAGGAACCACTAGCTTGGTGTCACTTCCTGTCCTCTAGGTCTTCTGGTTTGCTTGGGAAGCGGCTGTGGTGAGTGATCACTTCTGACATGAAAACTCATCCCAGTTTTGTTCCCCTCCCTGAGTTTTCCTTTTCCTCTGTGTCACTGCTAGCGCCATGATCACTCCAGGCCTTTCTCAGGCCCGGCTCACTGGCACAGCTGCTTCCCTAGCCCCTCGCTCTTAGTGTCTAAAATTTCTGTTACTCTTTTCCAAGACCTGACTTTTGACCCATGGGCTCCCTTTAGTGAGCCTCCTAGTAGCAGTCAGCTCTGGGGGTTTGGTTCCGAGTTGCTCTGATCATCCTGCCCATGTTGGAAGGCTCTCGAAGACAAGGGTGGTTTGCTTGTGTTGAATTCTCCACTGCACAGAGTTGGTCTGGTGGAAACCCTCGTGAGCAGGCACCATTCTCAGACACCAGAGTGCTGATGTCTGGGGAAAATGCTCAAGAACGGAAAAATTACCTTGGCAGACGGAGAAGAAAGCCACTGTGTCATGTTTGGGGAGGGGGTGGTTTCTTCAGCTTCAGATCCAGCAAATAACTTCATTTTGGAGTTTTCTTATCTATAAAAGGGGAGGGTCAGAGTGGATTATTTTTCCATTTCCACCCGACTACTTTTCCTTCATTCTTTACCTTTATCTTTTGAAATTAAAACGGATGCACTGTTTCTGGATCTTAAATTAGGAATTTTTCATTTCTTTGTCATTCCCTCTCTGACACGTTTTGCAGCTTTCTCTGGGTATGTGCTGCTAAAGGAAATTCGGATTTGCCATTTGGCTATTTTTTAGGCGAGCAGACAGGATGCCATACCATTCTGCTTTCTTCTGCTTGGAGCGTTTTGTTTGTAAAAGTAAAACTTTCCCCTCTGTGCATGAGTTCAACATAATTTTTGTTCATCCACAGACACAATGAGGCGAGTGGTACGACAGAGCAAGTTCCGGCATGTATTTGGACAAGCGGTGAAAAACGACCAGTGTTACGACGACATCCGGGTTTCTCGAGTGACCTGGGACAGTTCCTTCTGCGCTGTCAACCCCAGATTTGTTGCCATAATCATAGAAGCGAGCGGGGGAGGAGCGTTCCTTGTGCTCCCTTTACACAAGGTGAGTCATCTGACTTTCCATCCTGTGGAACACCCCCCGGTAATCGCTGCTTGTTCCATGATAAATTGATTTTGGAGATTGATAGTTCACCGAGAATTGTGTGATTGCTGGGACCATTAGACTGATGTAATTGAAGTTAAGTTCCACATGCTTTACTAACCGCATCCGTCTCTTTCTGACAGAGAATCATTAAACAGAATGGTGAACTCTGTTCTGGGCGTGCCCTCTATGGATGAAAAAGAGTCTTTTAATGATGCTGTGCACATGGGCAGGCTCAGGAATTTTATGATTTGGCTAGTAGTCACCCACTTTTCATAAATGTTTTTCCAAAAAGCATACTTTTAAAAACAGTTATATTTTTTAATGAGCGGAAATGTAAAAGATTATAAGATGATCTCTTTTGTCTGTGAAGTCATGAGGACTGAGACTTTTTGTTTTTCTTTGTGTCTGTTTTTGAATGGTAAATGGGATGAGAGCTCAAGAGAATGTCCCCAAACAATGCAGATTTCAAGTCTGGGCAGTAGCAAGTTTCAGCCTAGGATCTAAGCTGTGTTAAGCAATGGAAATAAAAGGATCTTTACTGAAAGTGTTTCTGTGTGACCTTCAGCCTTGGTGGGCTTCCTAGTTCTCCCTTCTCCTGACTTGATCCTTCCAGAAAGACCCTCTCCAGTGTGGGGGAGAAGATAAGAGATTTGTGATTTTTCTGACCGTTCTTGAAAATGGTAGATGAAAACCTGCAGTAGCTTTAACAGGAAAGCCCAGAATTGCAAATAATAGTGGTGGTGGGGTAGGGAACACTGACGAGAGAGAGACTGGAACGAGTCACTTTCTAGTTAGTGTTTAGGAGGAAAATAAGTTGAGTGAGTCCTGAGCCCAAGTGATGAGGGCCCGGTGCCGACAAGGATGCAGTGTTGGGTCACGTTACAGCTGTTTCCACTCTGCTGAGAACGGTGGGTCTTCCCGAGTTCTCGCCGTGCGTGTTAGGCATGTCTCATCATAATGGACCATGTGATTCTCAAAGTGGTTACAGTAATGTGGATTTCTGTCAAGGTACTGTTTCCCATTGTATTTTGGTGTTTTTTCCTTGTGAAAACTTCCAGTTCTCTTAAACTTTTCACTCTCTCAGATGCTCGTGACTGACTTGTTTTCTTTGAACATCAGATTTGTACGTCAGTGGCTGAACTGATGTGATATTACACAATAGGACCATCTCACGACAGAAATAGGAAGTGGATGCCTTTGGGTAATGAACTTAATATGTGTTTCCAAATGTACCCGCCTATGGCACAGTTGTTGATTATATTTTAAATGAGGAACTTTTCACTACATTGAAATTAAAATTTCTAGTCAGATACTTTTATTTTTCTGGAGAAAATTGCTGTTTAGTGGCAAATAACACATTACACTGTTCTAGCTCTACATACCTGGTTTTGGAGTGGGCGGTTTGAATTTAAGGCCAGTTGCATTTGGTCTCCACGACTTTTTGGTTGATTTGTTCAGCAAGAGCTTGGAGCACTGGAAACTGGACTTTACAGTGGTGGGTTTCATGGTGGCCAGCTGAGAAGATGCCTCAGCTTGTCAGCCAGGATCGGGCACGGAAGCACCATTATCTCTTTCGGAGTTAAAGAGGGATAAATTTAAGGCATTTTTTTGCTTCAAAAAAATGGATCAAGCCAATTAAGAAACCCAAAATAAACTGCCGAATGGCTAATCTTCTGATTTCAGACAGTTCTCTTCCAAAGGCTCCACATCCACAAAAGGCCCTGTGAGTCCTTTTTTACTTTTAGAAACCAGGGAAACAGAGTTCCATTTATACCATTTCAGGGAGACCTGTATGCAGTTCCTAAGCTAATTGGATCCTTTTTTTTTCTTTTACTGCAGGTACTGGGGATTGAACCCAGGACCTCGTGCATGCTAAGCATGTGCTCTACCACTGAGCTAACTGGATCTTATGCTTTGGTTTCCCCTTGCATTAAGTGGCCTACAGCTAAGACGTAGATTTGGTGTTTTGTTCTTTAATTAGCTGTGTAGGAATTAGGACAGGATAAGTTGCTTTAGAAATTATCATGTTTGAACAAAGTGTTGGTTTTCGGAGGAGCCTGCAGGGTCTCTCCCAGGCTTATAATTCATTCTGTGTGGCTTTGTTCCTTGAATGTTAATTTTTGTTGGAGGAGGTGACAGTGACATCAGCCCAGTGGCAGCCATTGGAAATAAGGTCAGTACTTGGGGTTATTGACTTTTATAATTGACAGTTTCACCCTTACTCTGTGGGATTTTCGGGTATTAAAGTGTGTGTGTTGAGCTCTTAGGGTTAGTGTGGTGGCGAGGAAAGAACACAGGTCTGGGAGCCGGGGATTCAGTCCTGATTGGGTCACTGGCTTGTGGTGGGACCTGAATGTGTCACTCTGTCCTGCTCTTCTGTTTCTCCGTCTGTAACATGAGGGGCTGCATATAAAAGTGATTTTCTGCCTTGGCAATTCTAGGTGATCTCAGAAGTACCTTGCCTCTCCTGTGGTTCTCAGTTTCAGCATGATTTCTAGTGCAACCCAAAACTCAGCAAAGGAAACACTGTTGTTCCCTTTTCCCCCTCCCTGGTGCCAGCACGTAACTTTGGGAAGTAGATGCCTTTTTACTTGTGGCTGCGTTTCCGCCAAGGCTGAGCCTAGCAAAGTGGTCTGTGGCCCCTGTAGACAGTTCTGTGTCTCCTGAGCTCCTGTGGCATCCGCTGTGGTGGCAGCGCCTAGCTAGGTACCCTGGAGTGTCAGGATGCACCCCTGTTTTCTTTTCTTCCTAAGGCCCTGTCCCTTGACTACCTAGGCTGCTGGAAAATAGAACTGTGTTCCATGTTGTCAGGAAACCTACATTTCTTCCTGCTTTATAGGGCTGACTGCCCTCTTGATACCTCTTTCCTTATAACTTTGGTATAATAATGAATATTTGAATAAGGATCGTAAGTTTTACGTTTTTACAGATGCTATCTCACTGTTTATACAACACAAAGTCTTCATTGTTCGTTGATGGTTCACATGGAATCGGTTGGTTTGATTGTCTGTGAGCTGAGTGTCTGCTGGGTGCCAGCATCTCTGCCTTCCAGGGGCACCGCGTCTCGTTTTCGCTGTGCTCACTCTCCTAATCCCCGGAAGCTTGCTGGTACTTCGTCTCCCCGTTAGAAGTGCAGCCTTGAGAAATATGTCAGGGGCCCTGAGTACCTAGTGAACCCAGTAATCCTAATACAGGACTTTGCCCCGGAGAAGAGGTCCTACAACTTCAGTGTCTTGGCAGTTATGAAATTGTTTTATAATGAGGTGCTGCTTCTGTTTAAAAGCAAAGAAGAACCGAGGGAGGGGATAGCTCAAGTGGTAGAGTGCATGCTTAGCAAGCATGGGGTCCTGAGTTCAATCCCCAGAACCTCCTCTAAAAATAAATAAACCTAATTACTACCCCCCACCAAAATAAAATAATTAATACAATAATTAATAAATAAAATATTTTTTTAAAAAGCAAAGAACCAAATTCCCACATAAAACATGAAGTGATGCTGGAAATGAAGACTGCAGAAAGTGATGCTCTAGGTATGTCTTCGGCGTCTGTGTGTGTTGATAGCAGTCCGGGATTTCTCTAAACGTGAACTTTAGGAGATGGGTATGGTGTTTAATAACTATCTCAGAGACTTCTGGTAATGTTCCCTCCCACCGCCCCACCTTCTTTTCCTGGTTTTAGTCAGCCAGGTTGGTTTTGGCGATGCTTTGGGGGTTTTCTGTACGTATTAATATTGAATATGTGTGTTTTTGTTTTTTTTTGAAATACAGTTTACAATGTTGTGTCAATTTTTGGTGTACAGCACAGTGTTTCAGTCATATAGGAACATACATATATTTGTTTTCATATTCTTTTTCACCATAAGTTACTACAAGATATTGAATATATTTCCCTGTGCTATAGTACATATGTGTGTATTGATTTTAAAATATATTGTGACTTTTTCTGCAAGGCTCCCATTTGAAACATGGCCTTCCATGAATTTCTCTTCAAAGCTAGTTAGCGCTAGCAGTAAATAGGATTTACTGCAACCTCATGAGGCTTGTGGTTAGATTCTGGGAGAGTCATGGTCTCTGTCTTCCAGGACTTAAAAATGGAAAGAGTAGTAGAGACAAACGCATTAGAACACGTACACAGCAAGAGGTAGGCTTAGGGATGGGTATATGTTTATTTAAGCATATGGATTATGAGGGTTCTGTTTTGGAGGTTCTGTTAGAGAAAATGGGGTGTCACTGGAAGAGGAATAGGGAAAGTGCTGAGCCCCGAGGTCGGGCGACTGAGATTAGCACACCTGATTCAGGAGTTCTTTTGTAACGCTCCCACAAGCCAGGACACTCCGCTCTGTCATGACTTTTCAAGGTGTGGCTTAGTACATTTTCTTATTCTTTGGTCTTTTGGAGGATGAATAATTGCAGTCTTGCCTAGCAGAAATTGGCTTTGTGGTTTTGGCTGTAAGTGTTTCCCCCTACAACCAAACAAGGTACCTTGTCACGGGCACGCAGGTCTCAGCCCCCGTGCCCTCCACCACGCAGGCACGAACAAGCGTCACCTGTGCAGGAGCCATGCTCGTGGTGTGGGGCTGAGCATTCCCAGCCCCGCTGTGGACCACGGAGGCGCGTACCAAGGGCAGCATCTGTGGGTGGGCGCATGCGCGTGCCTGCCTGGATGTGCTGAAACCTCAGATCACAGTGGCCCTGGGTTCAAGGGTTCAGGGGATTGGTTAGAATTCTGTGCACTTGAGCTCTTAACACTCACTTGGGGTGGAAATTGGAGGGCCCCTGTCTTCCTTAATCTCTTTCTCCCTTCCTCCCTTGAGTGCTCTTACTTGGGAGTACTGGAGTGATGGCTAATTTCATCTTCCTGGTAATTACCATGGAGAGCAGCTGTGCTCTGGGCCATGACGGGGCAGGTGTGGCCAGGTCTCTCCTACCCTTTTGGGTCACTGTCCCCTCTCCTTCTTG